CCAGGAGAGATTAGCATTTGTATCAGTAGAATGAATCAAGATCACCCTCAGCATTGTATGAAGCCAAAGAGAACAAAAAGATGGAGGAAGAGCAAATTCTCTCTCTCTTTCTCTCTCTCCCCTTCTCTCTCTCTCCCTCTCTCTCTTTTTCTCTCTTCTTGAGCTGAAACATCTATCTTCTCCTCTCCTCCGATATCAGAGCTCCTGGATCTGAGGTTTTCAGACTCCAAGATGTACACCAACAGGCCCCGCTCCCCACTCCTTCAGCCCTGGATCTCAGGCCTTTGAACTTGGACTGAACTACATCACCATCTTTCCCTATTCTTCAGCTTGCAGATGGCATATCATGGAATTTGTTGGCCTCCATAATCATGTGTTCCAGTTCCCAAAATAATAAATCGATCATCTCCTACTGGTTTTGCCTTTCTGGAGAACTCTGATTAATGCAAATGGGAATTTGGAGGGTTTGTGTCTGTCCTTGCCATAGGTAAACGAGGAGAGCAATCATGAGTCCTAAGTAAGTCTTATGGGGAAGGAGTATTTTGTTAGTTTCCTAAACCTGTCATAACAAAATACTACAAACCTCATTGGGAGCCACAGCACCTATCACAAAGAGAGAAAAACAGAAATTTATTCTCTCACAGTTTTGGATGCCAGGAGTCCACGACCAAGGTGTCAGCAGGCTTGGTTCTTTCTGAGGGCTGTGAGGGAAGAATCTGTTCCAGGGCTCTCTTTTTTGCTTGTAGATGGTCATCTTCTTCCTGTTTCACTTCAGATTATCTTCCTTGTTTGTTTGTCTATGTGTCCAAATTTCTTATAGTGACACCAGTCATATTGGAATGGGGTCCACCATCATGCCTTCATTTAACCTTAATTACTTCTTTCAAGATTCTATCTCTGAATGAGGCCACATTCTGAGATACTGGAGTTAGGACTTCAACATATGGATTTTGGATTTCAGGTTAAATAAAATTCAGCCCACCCATAACAGTGTTTGTTTTGTTTTCTTTTCTTTCCTTTTCTTTTTTTTTTTTTTTTTTTTTTTT